GAACCTGGTGAGAAGCTGAAAGCTATCGAAAGGCTTGGAGCATGCAGAAGATGTCTGAGATGTCATAAAGAGGATGATGAATGTACGGACATTTACCTATGCAGGAACAGAGACTGCAGAAGAGGGAGCTCTTCAGATCACCATTTCTTTCTTTGTCTGAAAGGAGGATTCAAGAGGAAAGAATCTGTGAAAGTGGGGAGACCCAGCACCAGAAGGCAAACATTCACAGAGGAACAAGAGATATTGATGTCTGAGCTTACCCCGGACATGGCGGAAAAAGTCAGGAAGCCTTCACCAATATGGCTGCAAAATCACACTGCACAGGGAGAAGTCTTCCTGGAGTGATGGACTCAAGCACATGTGAGTTACCAGTAATTCTTATGCTTCTTGAAGTAACCACCAACGCAGGACAGAAAATTGGAACTCTCATTGACTTAGCATCAGATACCAATTACATCACTCATATAGCTGCCAAGAGATTGAAACTTCAAAGTGAAAAGATCACGCTTGTCGTCCATGGAGTTGGAGGTATGGCCATGAAAGTAAGAACCAAAAGATATTTACTTAAGGTAAGAGTCAAGACACCTAGAGACACGGAAAGAGCTCATGAGCTGATCTGTTATGGGTTGGATGAAATTGCCAAAGTTCACAGAGTGATCAAAGCACAGCAACTCAAGAAGTTCTTCCCCGAAACCAACCTGGAAGATCTTCACAGACCAGAAAATGTTGAACTTCTCATAAGCCACCGTGAAGGAAGACTTGCTCCACAGAGAATAAAGGTGGTAGGAGATCTTGTCCTGTGGGAAAGCCCTTTAGGAAAGACTGTTGGCGGAGCACATCCAGATCTCTGTGAAGTATTGGGTATGGCCCTACACAATTCTGAAACTCACTTTGCACGATCAATGAGAATCACAGCAGTGAAGTATCAAGAAATTGCTGAGATGCAAGAATCTAGAGCTGAAACCAAAACCACTGTTATTGGGAGGGAGTTCTTGGATTGGTGGAAGTGGGACAGCATTGGTGCAGCCTGCGAACCCATGTGTGGAGGATGCCGGTGTGGTAACTGTCAGCCAGGAGGCAAAGACATGACTTGAGTGAAGAGAGAGAGCTTGAGGTGATCAGGCGAGGCCTCAGCTATGTGAAGTCAGATGCGCATAGTCAGGAGCCTCACTGGGACACAAAATACCCCTGGATTGAAAATCCAAGTTCCCTGCCCAACAACAGAAGCGCAGTGGAAGCCACGTTTCTGAGGACGGAAAAACAGCTCAAGAAAGAACCAGAGTGGCGTACAGCATACACAACTCAAGTCCATGAGATGGTGGAAAGGAGAGCAGCAAAGAAACTCAGTAGAGAGACCATTGCTGACTGGAAAGGACCAGTATGGTACGTCAGTCACTTGGTGGCACCAAACCCACACTCTGTAACAACACCTGTCCGACTGGTATGGAACAGCAGCCAGAAGTTTAGAGGGATCAGCATGAATGACCTTCTCCTGAAAGGGCCTGATGTACTTAATCCCATTCGAGCAGTGCTACTAAGGTTCAGGAAAGGAGTCCATGCTGCCCTCGGCGACATCAAAAAGATGTACAATTCTGTGTGGCTTGAAGATCTGGAGATGCACCTCCATAGATTTCTCTGGAGAAACAGTGGAGATGAAGAAATTGAGGAATATGGCATCACCAGGGTCAACATTGGCGATCGACCAGCAGGGTGCATCGCACAACTGGCCATGAGAGAGACAGCAAGGCTGCCCATGTTCACTCATCTGGAGGAGGAACGGAGAGTCCTTGAGGAGGATTCCTATGTAGATGACATTCTGACATCACATAATGACCTGGGAAAGCTAGACAGAACCACCAAAAAAGTCGAAGAAATACTGAAGGCAGGTGGATTCTTCCTTAAGCCGTGGGTCCGATCAGGTCAAAGTGGGAGGCAGACGTCTACATCAGAACGTCCAGCATCGTCAGATGAAGTCTTCATTCTCCCCAACCAAATGAGAGAAGGAGACAACAAAGCCCTTGGAGTTGGTTACCTGGTCGAACCAGACAAATTGTACCTCATGACATTGATAAACTTCTCAAAGAGAAAAAAGAAGATGAGGATGAGCCAAAATCTCGTCGAAGAAGAGGTGAGAGGAAAAACTCCAAACCCATTGACTAGAAGACAACTGCTTAGCCAAGTAGCTAGTTTGTATGACCCAATAGGTCTTGCAACACCTGCCAAACAGAAAGGAGCCATTCTGGTCAGAAAAGCATTTCAAGAAGCTGGAGGCAAAACTCTAACACGAGACACATGGGACGCACCTCTGTCTGAAAGACTTAGAGAAGAAGCCATCCACCTGTTTGAGGAATACACACGCCTCAACCAAATTACCTTCCATAGAAGTCTCACACCAGTCAGAAGGATTGGAGAACCCTGGGGAATAACATTCTCAGATGGTAGCGACCAGAGCTATGGAGCTGTTGCATACTTCAGGTGGGAGACCGAGCAAGGCATCCTGGTCCGGCTTGTTGAGTCCAAAGCCAAGCTCACACCGCTTGACCAAAAGGGAGAAGCAGTGAAGGCTGAGGTCTGTGGTGCTGTGTTTGCTGCGAGACTCAGAAAATACATTGAAAGGCACAGTCGGATACAAGTTGAACGTTGGTTCCATCTGCTGGACAGTCAAACTGTGCTAGGTGCAATCCAAAGGGACAGTTACGGGTACCAGACCTTTTTTGCAAACAGAGTGGGAGAGATCCAGAAGTCCACATCAGTTGAAGACTGGAGATGGATTCCAGGTGAGCAAAACGTTGCTGACCTCACAACAAGAGGAGCAACCCCAGAAGACCTGAAAGAGGACTCTGTGTGGCAAAATGGCCCAGAGTTTTTGAAACGACCTGTTGGGGAGTGGCCGACAAAGTCAGCCAGAGATGTTGCTGCAGAAGCTAAAGAAGGTATAAACAAGCTCCAAAGGAAATGTTTTACAGCAGCACTGACCCGAGCACAGAGGGAAAAAAAACAACATGCTCTACCTACCACTACAATGCCAAGGTTCCCAATCTCTAATGAAAAGAAGGACGATCTGCAAAGCATCCCTAGTGGGAAAGGAGGGGACCAAATCCAAGTCAGGAGACCACCTTCTGGTTCTTCAGTGAGGAAAATCCTGGACATAAGTAGGTTCAGTAGTTTAACCAAGCTGATAAGAATCATTGGCTGGGTGTGGAGAGCTGCCACAAGATGGAAGGAAATGCTGGTCAAGACCTCAACTACAAGCAAACCAAAGAGGAAGGAAATTCCTTCAGCTCTTGAGATTAAGTCCAGAGTCAAGGGAACTACACTCACTATCATCGAATGTGAGGATGCGCTCAGGGATCTCTTCCTTGCGGCTCAAATGGAGGTAGCCTTACCTGACACCACACTCAGCAGGCTTGCTGTGGTCAGGGAGGAAAGCACTGGACTTTTGCTCTGTGGAGGAAGATTCCAAATCTTTAATGAAGAAAAAACTGCAGTACCAGTCCTGCCTTGTACATCATGGGTATCCACTCTTCTAGCTCAAGAAGCCCATAAGGCAAATCATGAAGAAATTGCAGGCACACTCCTCCGGATGAGAAGGAAAGCATGGGTAGTAAGAGGCCGGAAACTAGTCCAGAAGATTGTTGATAACTGTGTGACATGCAGGAGACTTAAGGCCCGAAGATGCCAACAGATCATGAGTGACCTTCCATCGGAGCGAATAACTCCAGCCAATCCATTTGAGTACACGACAGTGGACCTATTTGGACCTTATGAAGTGAAGGATGAGGTGAGAAAGAAAGTGAGACTCAAAGTGTGGGGAATCGTCTTCTGTTGTATGGCGTCCAGAGCCATGCATACAGACCTTGTCAGTGACCAGTCAGCTGAAGGCTTTCTTCTAGCCTACCAAAGATTTACGGCACTGAGAGGACATCCGAGGAAATTGTGGTCGGATCCTGGGAAGAACTTCGTCGGAGCCAGACCTGCCCTCAAAGAGCTCCACATGTTTCTGGACCGACTGGAGAAATCAAAGCTTGAAGATGAAGTCTCCAAGCATGGCACAGAGTGGAGCTGGAAGATCCATCCAGCAGACTCACCTCACAGAAACGGAGCTGTTGAGGCTGCTGTCCGGATGATAAAACGAGCTTTGCACAATCTGGGGGGTGATGGAGTCTTCACATGGGGTGAGTTTCAAACTTTCCTTTATATGGCTTCCAACCTTGCAAATGAACAACCTATTGATGCCAGGACTCAGAGCCGGGAGGACTGTGTGGAATACATCAGCCCAAATTCGCTTCTGCTCGGAAGAACTGGACCCAGGGGAGATCCAGGGACCTTTGATTTCAAAGGCTATCCTTACAGAAGATTGAGAATCATTCAAACAGAAGTTGACCGATTCTGGAGGAAATGGAGCCAGTTAGCCGGACCAAATCTGTTTGTCCGGACCAAGTGGCACACCGTTCACAGGAATGTGGCAGTTGGAGATGTCGTCTGGTTGGCTGACCAGAATGCCTTGAGAGGTCAGTTCAGGCTTGCCAGGGTCATTGACGTCAACACTGACAGGAAGGGAATTGTGAGGGATGTATATCTCCGATCCTTCCCCAGCTACCCAGTCGCAACTGTGAAACTGACTAAAAAGATGAAAAAACACTCAACCAAGATACCTGCAACAGTTCTTCACAGGGATGTCAGACGGATAGTTGTCCTACTTCCAGTTGAAGAGCAGCAGTAGCAACAGGACCAAAAATGGAGTAACTAAATCCGACACGTCACAGTTCTGGTGTGACCTCCTTGGGTTGAAGAACCAGGAGGTCAAGTGGGAGGTGTTGTGTCAATTTATGGTTACTTTGCTTTAGTTGTACTGAGCAATCCAAGCCTAGATTCACCCAGGGCTCTCAGGGCACTCCCAAACTGCAGGGGGCAATCATGCAACAAAAGTTGGTGGAACCAACTTTTGGGGAAGTAGCTTTTGGGACTATATTTGCCTGCGCACCCACAGAGGAGCATGGCATTGAAATGTTTGTAGAGAGTTCGGTTGGTTCTCTCATTTATTCCTGGAAAAGGACACTATGATTACAGCTCCTGATCACTCAAAGACGCAACTGGTAGGACAATTTATGATTGACTATGTTTGAATATATTGAGTTTAAATGTTCAGGTTCTGCTTGGATTGTAATTTGCAATTTAAAATAAGTAATGGGGATTTGTTATGTGAATGTTGAACTTGATAGAAGTAACATGTGCATGAGTTTAATTATGGGATTGGTATTTTCTTGTTAAAATCCTAGGTTAGACTTAAGGATCGTGTTTAGTTTGGTTTGAAGGTTCAATAGCATTTATTTATTACTTCTGTGAGAAAGTGGTATTGTGATTTATCTGTAACTAATTCATGTTTTGGTTTGTGCATTTGAAAGGTTATCAACCTATACCTACTGCCCCACACTGATCTATCAAGTCACATTCAAGAAACTATACCATATTATTCCATCACTGGTCTATCAAACCATCTCAAAGAAAATAAAGAATCAAGAAGTGAAAAGATTGAGTTGTCCTTTGCGTTCTTCAGAGAGAAAAGCAGTTTTCAAGTTTGGGCTGAGCTGTAATCAATTAAAAACACACAGAACTTGACAGAAGGTTATGAGTCCCATGATTTAGGACCTATGGTTAAGGGAGCATTACAGATACCAAACTGGACACAAACACATGATGCAAACATACACATCTCCTCAGATAGACAATGCATGAGAATAACACTGACAGCAGTCGATGAGGGAATAGCAGAAAAAGTGATAGTTGATAGGGGACCACAGGATAAGAAATTGCCTCTATTAATGGTGGTAACAGATAGGCACAGAGCATTATTGGATCAAGTACCTCAGGAACTGTGGTCAAAACACAAAACCGATGTAGGACTAGTCAAGTCAGCACAGCCAGTAAAAATAAAACTTAGAAAAGACATCACATTGCCATACCAAAGACAATATCCACTGAAACAGCATGCTTTGGAAGGAATCAGACCTACAATTGAGGGTCTGATGAAGGCAGGGGTCCTGGTCAAAACACAGAGTCCCTGTAACACGCCGATCTTCCCAATTAAAAAGCCACATTCAAATGATTACCGATTGGTTCATGACCTAAGACAAATAAATGCCATTGTAGATGCAGAAGTACCTGTCGTTCCGGACCCACATACCTTGCTCTCTAACATCCCACCAAACACACAATGGTACACAGTGATAGATTTGTGCTCAGAATTCTTCAGTGTGCCACTACACCCAGAGTCACAGGACTTGTTTGCTTTCACATTTGACGGTCACCAGATAACTTATAGCCGTCTACCACAGGGTTTTGTTTCGAGTCCGTCAATCTTCAACAGAGTACTGGCACAAGATTTAGATCTAGAGGTAGAAAGCACTGTGATTCAATACGTGGACGACATTCTCATATGTAGTTCATCAGAACAACAATGTGAGGAGGATACCATGACGATATTGTCAGCATTGGCCAAAGGAGGGCACAAAGTTAGCAAGGACAAACTTCAATTCTGTCAGACGGAAGTAGAGTATTTAGGTAGAAAACTGAGTGGAGACAAGAGACTGATAGCCAACTCACAGATAGAGGCTATAGCTAAGATACCAAAACCGCAAACAGTAGGACAAATGCTCTCGTTTCTAGGCATGGCAGGGTATAGTCGCTCGTGGATTTGCGATTACGCAATAAAAACAGCTCCATTACGAGCTATGATAAGAACAGCAGGTCAGGCAGTCAAATCAGCCCAGTTATACTGGACTGAGGAAGCCGAAGGAGCCTTCCAAGCACTAAAACAGGATTTGCGTTCGGCTCCAGCACTGGGCAATCCAGATTATTCTAAACCATTCCATCTGTATGTAGCTGAGAGATCAGGGTTTGCAAGTGCCGTGCTAATGCAAGACACACCAACAGGTAAACAACCACTGGCATATTACAGTACAAAACTGGATAACATTGAGATGGGACTGCCACCGTGTTATCAGGGATTGGCAGCAGCAGTTTTTGCATTTCAAAAAGCCTCTTCCTTGACAATGGGACATCCAATGATTTTGTATACGTCCCATCAATTGCATGCTCTACTCACCAGTCCTCGATTTGTTCTAACCCAAGCTAGGAAAACAGGATACGAAGTCATCCTGTCTGCACCAGAACTCACTATCCAACGGTGCAACACCGTGAATCCAGCAACACGTATGGTGCTGCCAGTAGATGGAACACCACATGACTGCATACAGGTAACAGACACGTTCATGAGAATACGCGAGGATTTGCACAATCAACCAATCCCAGCTGATTTGACATTCTTTGTTGATGGCTCTTGTTTCAGAGACGCCACAGGCAATCATGCAGGATATGCAGTGGTACAGCTAAACAAAGATAATACCTTCACAGATGTTCAAACCACCAGTGTGCCTCAACCATGTTCAGCACAGTTAGCAGAAATCAAGGCTCTAACAGCAGCCTGTAAGCTGGCAAAGGGAAAGCGTTTGAATGTATACACAGACTCAGCTTATGCATATGGAGTGTGTCATGTACATGGCAACACTTGGAAACAGAGAGGGTTCTGCAGAGCAGATGGAACTCCGGTAATACATGGAGAAGCCGTCTCTGCATTATTAGAAGCAATCCATGAACCAACCGCAGTAGCAATTATAAAGTGTCCAGCACATCAAAAAACAGACACTCTGATAGCTCGAGGTAACAACCAAGCAGATGAAGCTGCCAAACGAGCCGCAGTAGGAGAAGTTATGGGTCCACTGGTAGCAGTTGAGGATTGTGAACCACTTACAAATTTGTCATCTCTCATTGCAGCACAAGAAGCAGCTGACGTGTATGAGAAGTCCATGTGGCTAAAGAAAGGGGCCAGACAAGTAACTGAGGATGGTCCCCAGAAAGGATTATGGAGGGGTCCACATGGCCATTTTGTGCTGCCTATTTGTTTAACACGCTTTGCTATAAGGAACGCTCACGGACCAGATCATTGTTCCAGGGGACAGGTACTTAGGCGCATACAGGCAGTATGGCAGCCACCGTAGATAGGACATTGAACGAATGTCAGGGTTGCGCTCTTTTTAACACAAGAAAGTCATTCTCAGCCCCTCTGGCTCACATACCAGCGCCAGATGGTCCGTTTAGACATCTTATAATAGACTATGTAGATATGACAGAGAGGGTAAACAGGATGAGGTATATCCTAGTAGTAGTTGACAGATTCAGTAGATGGATTGAAGCAACACCAACCACCAGCCCGGACTATAAGTCAGTGGCAAAGTTCTTATGCAGGGAAGTTTTTCCACGATTCGGCTTACCAGACAAGATCAGTTCAGACAACGGACCACACTTTGTAGCACAGGTCATAAAGACAATGCTCCAAATGTTGGGCATTAAACAAAGATTTGGGTGTGTATATCATCCACAATCACAAGGGACAGTGGAACGAGCTAACGGAACTTTGAAAGCAAAACTAGCTAAGATAATAGAGGACAGCAGAGGTAAGCTAAAGTGGATAGATGCTCTTCCGCTAGCACTAATGGCAATGAGATCGCAAACTAACAGAATGACGCATCTAACACCGCATGAAATGTGCACTGGGAGGCCAATGCCTGTCCCATACTTGAGAGGTCCATATGAAGGGCCATCTCTTGAACAGTTAGAAAATGAGTTTTCAAGTTACGTCCAGCATTTAACTAGAATCCACAGAACTATCTTCCAACAGGTCAAAGGAGCCACTGAGGAAAGAGACGCTGCCATACCAGAGCGCCAACAAACAATACGCCCTGGTGAGTGGGTGTACGTCAAGGTGTTCAAAAGAAAGTGGAACCAACCCAGACGAGAAGGCCCATTTAAAGTTGTCCTTGCCACACCATCAGCCTTAAAAGTAGAAGGTAAGAACGTTTGGTTCCATCTAAACCACTGCTGCAGAGCAAATGAGCCAGAAGGAGCAACTGAGGCAGTCAGAGGAGGAAGGCACACGGGATCCGATGGGGACGGTGACACCGCCCCGCAGGGAGATAGACGATCCCAGAGCCCAGAGGGAGACAGACAAAGGAGCGGTGAGCCCGCCCTGCAGGGGGAGAGACGATCCGACAGACTGGCCGCCAGACGGACCAGCATTAGACGAACCAGTGACAGCGCAACCAGTAGTGGATCCTTACCTCCAAGAGAAGATGTTACAGATGCAGATAGTACACCCCTTGATTCAGCAGGACAGTCAGGATCAGATAGAGATATCCATGAATCAGAAGAATCAGGTGACTCAGGTTCAGAAGGAGATAGAGCAGAACAAGGAACTGCAGAAACCCAGTCAAGCTCACTACCAAGTCCCTACGCAGACACAATCCTAAGACCAACACCAAGCCCAATCACAGAGTCAGGACCAGGGTCAGATTCAGGTTCCAGTACAAGAGCAACCCCAAGGTCATGTACAGGTTCGGGTACATACGCAAGTCCGACAGAAAGCGGCCCAGAAGCAGGACATGAAACAGGAGCAGAAGGAGAATCAGGTTCAGAGCGAGACAGTCCCTATGCGAGATCAGAAACAGAACCCGAAGAAACAGACCCAGAAGAGGGACAGACAGAAACTCCAGGACAGGCAGCTGGTGATGTGGATAGCAGTGACAGCAGTCCTAGTACTACTAGCATGTCAGATTCCAGATATGATTCCTCAGAAAGAGAACGTTCCCCCGAGACAGGGACAGATGATTGAATGTGCACTAGCAGTAGCAACAGTAGCGGTGCAGGAAGGTAAATGGCCAAAAAGTGACAAACTAAATTTGACTTATGTAAGAACAACCACGCTAAAAAAGATTCTGACTCAAGGACCAGGAGGTCACATATTAGAAAACCAGCCAGCTGATAGACAATGCGAAGCTGAAGGAGTGGTGGCAATAACGGCAAGCTGTAGCTCCAACAGGTGTACAGATGAAGTAACAGGAACAACTGTAGATAGGCAACTAGCCCGAAAGCTGATTAAGTCCCAGCCACGCCAGCAACGAAGGGGACTGACAGATGATCAGCCAAAAGCAACGTTGAGGCCTAACAGACGACAACCCAGGGTATTACAGAAGACCAAGTCCAGTATACAACAGACTAGAACCACACCGAGAGTAAAACCCATGATACAGGGAGAAAATATGTTTCGTCAATGGCTACAATATTCTGCTCAGCAGGTTAGCTCTCAGTCCTGCATAGCCTGTTACAATGGCAGGAGAGTCCCTCAAATATTGCCCATAAGTTTTGATGCGTGCCAACACCGCAATGATTGTTTTGCTTATTGCATGCTAAGAATGATGGCAAAGAAACTCGACGGATGGTCACAGAATAGAACTAATTGTCCATCCTACATGGACCCTTTATTGGAACATTGGATACCACAGACGGCTGTTAGAAATGAAAGCACAGTATTCCCATTTTGCATAGTAGATACTAAGACTATGATGGTTAACGGACCAGACGCCAAAGTACAATGTCACCGCAAGCGAAAAGTAGAGAATGGCAGATCAGTACTTGCA